AAGAGGCACAACAGGTCTGATCACAGAAATTCCAGAATTCTTTAAAATACAATTTCACACATCCATCAAGCACCTACCATCAAAAGAGTCACCAACTGGAACTTTAAGCTTCAAAATGACTGCCACCACCGTCCAGTTGTCCACACTAGGGTACCAGATCTCGCTCTACACAGAGGGAAAAAAGCGTCGTATGAGCTAAAGGCTCAGTAAGCGAATTCAACACCTTTGCATTCCAACCTAGATGCACTCCTAAAGGATAACAGCCCAAAACTATCACAGTTCATGCAAGATCACAGAATATAATCATACATTAATAGATATAGATAGAGTTAGCTGAAAAATTTCTGATCTCAAGACTTTCCATGTTTCATGAAGTAAATAGTCATACATACATATATCACAATCACACAGTCAGAAGCTTGGCTAGGATATACAGTTTAGACAGGCAAAAATTAATACGGCCTATTCCTGAAGTAGAAATCACATTGACCAGGCTAAGCCACTTCTATAACTTGTGACTTCTACCCTCATTCATGAAGGAGGACAATGACAAGTGGGGGCCCCACTTCGTAATGTCCTCACTCACGCACATAGTCCCCAGCGTGCTTTAGGGTTTACGATAGGCTGAGGCCTTGCAAGACATGACCCTCCCTTGGTGCCATCAGGCGAGAGGGCGTTATACTACCTTTGGAGGACCCAATATGTACTGCCCATAACAGAGTGAGGGGTGCTACCCTTCCAGTTATTTAGAGTTACATCTCGACTCCTCTCCTATGATAGGAGTCAAGGTATAGTATTCCCCACTACTAATGAAGGACCCAATGAGTAGTAGGCAATTATCATAATTACAGTACCCACTACCAATGGAGGACCCATTGCGTAGTGGTCAGGATCAGTATTCGAATCAGATAAATTCATTATCCACTACCAATGGAGGGTCCATTACGTAGTGGCAAGAATCAAAACCAGAATCATAAGCAGAATCAGATAACAGAGATACAGTATCCACTACCAATGGAAGACCTATTGCGCAGTTGCCCGATTCAGAATTATATAGGAATCATAAGTATTACATTTCAGTATCATCTTACAAAAGAATCTAGCCATGTTCAACATATCGATATATAGCAAATGAATGATCTACTCAACGACTAAGAATTCATTATAATTCTTATCATAAATATGCATGTGCAAGGTGAGACATAACATCCACCTTATGAGGGAAATTTACTTATTTTCAATTGCTCTTTCAGGGTGAGTATGAGCCTCCCTCAATCACAGAAAGTATGAAGCTTAATTGAGCATGACCAATTCAGGGCTAATATAGAGTCTTGAGATTCTGAAATGTCATATTGGGGTATGTTTCATAATCTGGGATATAAACATCAATTTTATACGAAATTTCAATATAATTCAAAAGCAAAATTTCAAGTTAACATTCTTATATCTCATGTGATAGTAATTTGAGAGCATTTGGACCCCATTTGTTCCTTCAAAAGCTTAAAGTAACAGAAGCAATAGTTCTGGAAATTGCTGAGTTTGGTCATCAGTGACGTGATCTCATAATTTGATGTATAACTCTTGATTTAGAAATAATTTCAAAATTCTTTGAGCATGTGAATTCAAAAGGACACATATAAATTTCAAATAAAAGTTGTTCGAAGGAAATTTAACCCCATTTGATTATTTAAAACTTATGAAAACAGGAACAAAATTTCTGAGTTTTCTGCAATCTGTCAACAAATATATGTCCATATACATTGAAATATAACTCTCACATTATACAGAATTTGGACAAGGTTAAAACATGAAATTCATAGTAAACTCATGTATCTTTGAAATGGCTATGATTATGAGTCATTTGGACTTCATTTGGCTAAATAAAGAATCAGCACAACATGAATAATATTTTTGAAATCTGCTGAAATTTGATAGCAGCGACATGTACTCACAAACCGAAACATAGCTCTCAATCCGTAAAGAATTTCAACTGAGATTAAACAGAAAAATCACAGTAGACACACATAGATTTCATTTAAACTGGTTTTTAACTAATTTTGATGTATTTAAGTCAAATGAAAAGTTCAATTTATAGAGCATGCATCTTTCTGGAAAATTGCAGAATTTCATACCCAAATTTTGGTACACTTCAAAGAGTGGTTAGTAACTTTCAAACTAAAATAGCATTAATGCAAGGTTATTTTCTGCTTGAACCAGATTCACAAGGGTGTTTACCCACTAATTTTTATAGCCAACAAAAATTTTTTTTAAGGCTCAATCTATCATGCAAATAAGAGGTACAGTCCTGGAAAATCAGGGCTTATTATAGCATGGTATCATACATGCTCAAGCTTGGATTCAAACAAAAACTATGAAAGCATGGTTGCTATAATCCACTTACCTGTGCCAAGAGGCCTCCAGGTTTATCCAAGCTTCTAATGATGGTTGAATGGAAATCCTTAAAATTCTAAGGCCATGGAAGGTGGCGTGAGGGAGAGGGAGAGAGAGAGGGAGAGAGGGAGTAGCATTTGGAGTGAGGTTGAGGTTTAACATGGGTAGGGAGAGGAGGGGTGGCAGCATGCCACAACTAAGTGGCAAACAAGGGGGGAGGGGGGGGCACGTGATGAACAAGGGAGAGGAAAAAAAAGGAAAGGAGGTAGTCCCTTGGAGTACCGTATTTAATTGTGCATGGTGGTAACACATCAAGCACGGTTTTCCACACATGGTGTTTCTCCTATGCCATCTACTCGCGGTTTTCCACGCATGGTGTTTCTCCTATGCCGTCTACTCTTCTGTGAAAAGCAATACGCTAAAAAAGTTTGGGCCCTAACCTCATCCCCCCCTTCAGAGGATTTTTTCCACAAAATCATAATTCTGTTAATCGAATAAATGGGGGAACTTATCTCGATTGTCATCCTCCCGTTCCAAGGTTGACTCATCCCAGGAATGGTATTGCAACAAAAGACGGACACGGGCAATTTCTTTATTGCATAGTATCTGCACTCTCATATCCAAAATCTTAATTGTTTGCTCAACATACGTTAAGTCTTCCCTGATTGGAATTGGCTCATATTTCAAGACATGGGATGGGTCCGGCTGATAGCTTCTTAACAAAGATACATGAAATAGATCATGAATATGTGCCAACTCAGGTGGCAAGCCATGCCGATAAGCCATACTTCCAACGCTCTCCAAAATTTCAAAAGGCCCAATAAACCGTGGGCTCAATTTTTCCTTTGCCAAATCTCAAAACACCCTTAGTCGGTGATACAATCAAGAAAACTCGATCATTTACTTCAAACTCGAGGTCTCTTTTTTGATTGTCGGTGTAACTCTTTTGCTGACTCTGAGCGGTCTTAAGTCTTTCCCGAATCAAGGCAATTTTTTCTAAGTTAACTTAAACAATTTTTGGCCCTAAAAGCCTTCTCTCACCTACCTCATCCCAACAGATAGGGGATCTATATTTCCTCTCATACAAAGCTTCAAAGGGAACCATCTGAATACTGGATTGGTAGCTGTTATTATAAGAAAATTCGATCAGAGGCAGATGATCCTCCCAGCTTCTTTTGAAGTCAGTAACACAACCTCTCAACATGTCTTTCAGAGTTTGAATTGTTCTTTCTGATTGTTCATCAGTCTGAGGGTGAAAAGCAGTGCTAAAAGTAAGTCTCATCCCTAGGGATGATTGCAAACTGTTCCAAAATCTTGAAGTAAATCTGGTGTCCTTGTCGGACACGATACTAATAGGTGTTCCATGTAACCTCACAATCTCTTTAATGTACAAATGGGCAAGTCTATCCAAGGTATAAGTAGTGCAAATAGGTAAGAAATGGGCTACTTTAGTTAGTCGGTCCACAATGACCCAAATACTATCATGCCTGACACTTGTTCTAGGTAAGCCAGAAACAAAATCCATGGTGATGTGCTTCCACTTCCATTCGGGTACTAGCAAGGGTTGCAACAGTCCCGTGAGTTTTTAATGTTCAGCTTTCACCTGCTGACATGTCAAGCACTTGGAGACAAACTGTGCCACTTCTCTCTTCATATTATTCCACAAGAAAGTTGTCGTCAGGTCCTGATATATCGTGGTACTCCCTGGGTGGAAAGTATAACGGGAGTGGTGCGCTTCTTCTAAAATAGCCTATTTTATACCATCATCATTTGGAACACATATCTGATCTTGAACCTTACCAGATCATCACTGTTAATAGAGAAATTATCTTTTCTCCCCAGGTTTATTTCTTCGAGGATTTTCATGACATGAGGATCCTCTTTCTGTGCCTTACTAATTTTTTGAAAGAGCTGGGGATCCAGCCTTATACCAGCAGTCATTCCTACCCCATTTCCAAGGGGCGGATCTGGGTGCCATTCCACTGCATCTTCTATCAATGTCATTTGTCAAACCATCAGATGTGCTATTGATACCACCGGCTTCCGACTCAAAGCGTCGACTACTACATTAGTTTTGCTCGATTGGTAATTGATGATACAATCATAATCATTCAGTAGGTCCATCCATCTTCTTTGCCTCATGTTCAACTCTCTTTGGGAAAACAAATACTTGAGGCTTTTATGGTCCTTAAATATCTTAAACTGGGCCCTGTAGAGGTAATGTCTCAATATTTCAAAGCGAAAACTACCCCTGTGAGTTCCAAGTCATGAGTAGGGTAGTTTTTCTCGTACGGCTTTAACTGCCTAGAGGCATAAGCAATGACCTTTCCTTGCTACATCAACACATATCCAAGCCCTTTAAGTGAGGCATCAGAACATACCACAAAATCTTCGTTTCTTTTGGGCAAGGTCAGTATCGAGGCCGTAGTCAGTCTCCTCTTCAGTTCCTGAAAAGTCTTCTCACAATCAGCTGACCATACAAAATTCACCTCTTTCTGAGTTAGGCGGGTCAAAGGGAGCGCTATCTTTGAAAACCCTTCAACAAAGTGCCTGTAATATCCGACCACTCCCATAAAACTACGGACCTCAGTCACATTTGTCGGTCTTCCCTAGTTTAGAACAGCTTCAACTTTACAAGGATCAACTGCGACCCTGTCCTTAGAATTAATGTGCCCAAGGAAGGACACGTTAGGGAGGTAAAACTCACTCTTCCCCAACTTGGCATACAATGTTCCTGTTTTCAGGGTTTGGAGGACCGTTCTTAAGTGCTGCCCATGCTCTTCCAGGTTTCTTGAAAATATCAAAATATCATATATAAAGACCACCAAAAAATCATCCAAAAAGGGTCTAAACACCCTATTCATCAAATCCATGAAGACTGCCGGGGCATTGGTTAATCCAAATGGCATTACCAAGAACTCATAGTGGCCATACCGGGTTCTAAATGCGATCTTAGGGACATCCCCTTCCTTGACCCTTAGTTGATGACAACCCGATCGGAGGTCAATTTTAGAAAATACTGGGGCCCCTTGTAGTTGATCAAAAAGGTCATCAATTCTAGGCAAGGGGTACTTGTTCTTTATAGTGACCTGGTTCAGCTGTCTGTAATCCATACGAAGTCTTAAAGATCCATCTTTCTTTTTCACAAACCCTAAGATGACACACTAGGTCGAATGAACCCTTTTTCTAATAATTCTTGCAATTGCTCCTTTAATTCTTTCAATTCAGCTGAGGCCATCCTATAAGGGGTTTTAGAGATGGGAGCAGAACCAGGAACCACATCTATTTCAAACTCTATCTCTCTGACTGGAGGCAGAGAAGTCAACTCTTCGAGAAAAACTTCCCGATACTCCCTCACCACTGGTATCTCCTTCAACTTGGACTGGACATCCCCATTCTCTACTACATATGCCAAATACCCAACACATTCTTTGGCTAATAGGAGGGAAGCCCGAAGGGCTGAGATAAGGTGTATAGGGAAAATATCTTTAATACCAACAAATATGAACGTAGGCAAATTTGGGCATAAGAAGGTCACAGTTTTATCATAACAAATTACTGTAGCATAATACGTGGACAACCAGTCCATGCCCAAAATTACATCAAAATCCTGAATGTTTAGCAAGATTAAGTCCATAGGCAAAATACATCCTTCAAGCAGAACTTCACAGCGGTTATAAACAGTATCAGTTTCTATAGACTCCCCCATAGGTGTACCAACAACCAATATCCAGTTAAGCAATGCAGGTTTAACATTTATGTGGCATTTAAAGTGAGGTGCAACAAAAGAATGCGTGGATCCAGGGTCAATTAGAATTTTAGCTTCCAACCCATAAACATGGAGCGTACCTCTGATAACTGAAGTTGATGCCTTAGCCTCCTGCTCAGTGAGAGCAAATACCTGACCTTGAGTCTTGGGTAGATTTTCAGGTCCCCTCACTAGGCAATCTCTAATTTGGTGGCTCGGCTTGCCACATCTGAAACATGCCCCAGTCTTCATTCTGCAATCGACCACCAAATGATTATCCTTCCCATTGTGTGGGCACGTCAAGCGTCGACTCTCTCTTACATTGCCTGGCCATGATTTTTGGATCTTCTTACCCCTCTGATTTTCTCCTCCGCTAAGGTTCCTCTTAAGTGGTGGGCGAGCTTTCCTCCCCGACTATCGAAACTGAGTTGGTCTTATCTTTCAGTTTTCCCCAACTCGGGATCCTTCACAGTCCCTTTCAATTTTCATAGCTAAGTTTGCCAAAGGGGAGAAAACCTTCAAATTTTCTGATATTACCATCCCCCTTATCTCTGACCTAAGGCCTCTCTCAAACTTATTCTCCTACCGTGCCTCGACAATGATGATGTGGGGTGCATACTTTGATAACTCCGCAAACTTGGCTGCATACTATTCCACAGTTAAATATCTCTATTGTAGCTCGATAAAGTCTACTTCTTTTCTTTCCCTTACTGAACCGGGAAAGTACTTCTCGTGGAAGGCTTCAAGAATGTTTTCCCAGTTTGCTTCCGTTCTTGCTTCTGCCCAGGACTGTTTCATTGCGCCCAACCAGTGCTCAGCGTCCCCTTCCAGCATAAAGGTCCCCAGCCTGACCTTCTGTTCTTCTGTGCATTGCAGTACCTCAAAGATCTTCTCCATCTGTCTTCTCCATCTTTCAGCCTTTTCTACTTCGCCAAGCCCAAAGAAGGTTGGAGCAGCCAACCTCCTAAATTTCTTTCTCAAACTGCTATCATTTGAGTCAGGGGCAGGGGAAGATGGTGCTGACATAGCTTCCTTCATCATTTGCGTCATAGCCCCTAAAGTCCTAACAAACTCCCAGAGGGCATCAATATTTTCGTTATTGGAGCTTATATTAATGGCTCTTGTTTTCGACATCTTCAACCTAAAACAGTTGCACCCAATCACCAACTTACACAGAAACTACTCTAAAGACACTTCTACAACTCTTTAAGCCAAGAATCCTAACCTGGTTGCTCTGATACCATAACTGTCACGACCCTGCCCCCTGACCCCCACCGTTCCATACCAGAGGGTGACAGAGCACGGGATCGCGAACACAGAGGTCGCGAATATCACTCAGTGGGAGTGGCTCAACGCATAATTTAATTTGGAATCACAGCAAACCATGAGATAAAGCAAAAACTCATACAAAACAAAATCCAAAACTGAGTAAAATAACACCATTTAGATACCTATTCAGACTCCAAAATTTCATGTTACAATAAGTTCAAGGCACAACAGGCCCGATCACAAAACTTCCAGAATTCTTCAAAAGACAATTTTACACATCCACGAGGCACCGACTGTCAAAAGAGTCACCTACACTCTACACAGAGGGGGAAAAGAGTGATATGACCTAAAGGCTCAGTAAGAGAATTCAATACCCTTGCATTCCAACATAGATGAAATCCTAAAGGATAACAGACCCACAACTATCACAGTTCATACAGGATCACAGAATATAATCATACATTAATAGATACAGATAGAATGAGCAGAAAACGTTATGATCTTCGGACTTTCCATGTTTCATGAACTAAATAGTCATACATACATATATCATTATCACACAGTTAGCAGCTTGGCTAGGGCATACAGTTCAGATAGATAGAAATGAATAGAGCCTACTCTTGAAGTAGATGTCACATCTACCAGGCTAAGCCAGTCCTGTAACTTGTGACTTCTACCCTCATTCAGGAAGGAGGACAATGACAAGTGGGGGCCCACTTCGTAATGTCCTCACTCATGCACACAGTCCCCAGCGTGCTTTGGCGTTTACGATAGGATGTGGCCTTGCAAGAAACGACCTTCCCCTGGTGCCGTTAGGCAAGAGGGCATTACACTACCATTGAATGACCCAATATGTAGTGCCCATAACAGAGTGGGGGGCGCGACCCTCCCAGTTATTTACAATTATATCTCGACTCCTCTCCTATCATAGGAGTTCGAGGTATAGTATACCTCACTACCAATGGAGGACCCACTGCATAGTGGTCTGGATCAGAATCCGATTCAGATAAATACATTATCCATTACCACTGGAGGGCCCATTGCATAGTGGCAAGAATCAGAAACAGAATCATAAGCAGAATCAGATAACAGAGATACAGTATCCGCTACCAATGGAAGACCCATTGCGTAGTGGCCAGAATCAGAATTATAGATGTATCATAAGTATGCCATTTCAGTATCATCTTACAAAAGAATCAAGCCATGTTCAACATATCGATGCATAGCAGATGTATGATCTACTCAATGACTAAGAATTCATTATAATTCTTATCATAAATATGCAAGTGCAAGGTGAGACATAACATCCACCTTATGAGGGAAATTTACTTGTTTTCAATTGCTCTTTCAGAGTGAGTATGAGCCTCCCTCAATCACAAAAAGTATGAAGCTTAATTGAGCATGACTAATTTAGAGCTAATATAGAATCTTGAGATTCTGAAATGTCATATTGGGGTATGTTTCATAATCTGGGATATAAACATCAATTTTACACGGAATTTCAATATACTTCCAAAGTAAAACTTCAAGTTAACATTCTTAGCTCTCATGTGAGAGTAATTTGAGAGCATTTAGACCCCATTTGGTCTGTCAAAAGCTTAAAGTAACAAAAGCAATAGTTCGGGAAATTGCTGAGTTTTGTCATCAGTGGCGTATTCTCATAATTTGATGTATAACTCTTGATTTAGAAACAATTTCAAAATTCTTTGAACATGTGAATTCATAAGGACACATATAAATTTCAAATAAAAGTGGTTGGAAGGAAATTGAAATCCATTTGATTATTTAAAACTTATGAAAACAGGAACAACATTTCTGAGTTTTCTGCAATCTGTCAACAAATAAATGTCCACATACTTTGAAACACAACTCTCAAATTATACAGAATTTGGACAAGGTTAGAACATGAAACTCATAGTAAAATCGTGTATCTTTCAAATGGCTTTGGTTATGAGTCATTAGTACTTCATTTGGCCAAACAAAACATCAGCACAATAGGAATAATATTTTTGAAATCTGCGGAAATGTGATAGCAGTGACATGTCCTCACAAACAGAAACATAGCTCTCAATCCTGAAAGAATTTCGACTGAGATTAAACCAAAAAATCACAGTTGACACACATATTTCATTTAAACAGGTTTTTAACTCATTTTGATGTATATAAGTTAATGAAAAGTTCAATTTACAAAGAATGCATCTTTCTGGAAAATTGCAGAATTTCATACCCAAATTTTGGCACACTTCAAAGAGTGATTGGTAAATTTCAACTAAAATAGGAATTAAAGCAAGGTTATTTTCAGCTTAAACCAGATTCACAAGGGTGTTTACTGACTAATTTTTATAGCCAACAAAAATGCCTTTAAGGCTCAGTCCATCATGCAAATAAGAGGTACGGTCCTGGAAAATCAGGGATTATTCTAGCATGCTATCATACATGCTCAAGATTGTATTTAAATAAAAACTATGAAAGCATGGATGCTATAATCCACTTACCTGTGCCAAGAGACCTCCGGGTTTACCCAAGCTTCTAATGGTGGTTGAATGGAAAGTCTTAAAATTCTAAGGCCAAGGAAGGTGGCATGAGGGAGAGGGAGAGAGAGAGGGAGAGAGGGTGTAGCATTTGGAGTGAGGTTGGGGTTTAACATGGGTAGGGAGAGGAGGTGTGGCAACATGCCACACCTAAGTGTCATACGAAGGGGGGGGGGGGGGGGGGGGGGCACGTGGTGAATAAGGGAGAGGAAAAAGAAGGAAAAGAGGGAGTCCCTTGGACTACCCTTTTTAATTGTGCATGGCGGTAACACATCACACATGGTTTTCCATGCACAGCGTTTCTCCTGTGCTGTCTACTCACTTGTGAAAAGCAGTACGCTGGGAAAGTTCGGGGTCTAACACTATCCCTCTCTCTCTTCTTCTCATCGTTATCTCTCTTTCTCTCTCTTCTTCTCATCCTTATCTCTCTTTCTCTCTCTTCTTCTTATCGCTATCTCTCTTTCTCTCTCTTCTTCTCTTCTCTATCTCTCTTTCTCTCTCTTCTTCTCATCTTTATCTCTCTCTCTTCTTCTCATCTCTATCTCTCTTTTTTCTCTTCGTCTGACATAGTCAGTGAAGCTTAGCGTCGACTGTATCTTCTCTCTCTTCTAGTCTAACAAAGTCAGCAAACCCTAATGTCAACTGCATCCTCTCTCTTCTCGTCAAAACACAGTCGGCTAAACTCAGCACCGACTGCATCCTCTCTCTTCCTTGTCTAGCACAACCGGTGAAGCTCAGCGCCGACTGAGTCCTCTTCCTCGTCTTTGCCTAATACAATCAACGATGCCTAGCGCTGTCTATGTTTTTCTTTCTTCCCTCATTTTCTTCTTTTTCTTTCTTGCTCCTTCTCTCTTTTCTCTTCTTTTCTTATCTTAATCTTCTTATGTTTTTTCTTCATGATATCTGTTATTTCTGTCATTCTTTCATTTGATTAAAGAGGGGTTGAGATTACCCTATCATGGTAGTCCTGTCGTCTAGCCATAATGTTGTTGTGCTAGAATTACTGTGCCTGCTTTATTGCTACGACAGACTAAGCATCCTGTCCAGCTAGTCAATATCGTTATTGACGTCTAGTAGTAATCCTGTTGAGCCGGTCTGAGTTATTTAGCTCGTTTTATTACCACGTCAGGCCAATTACTCATCTGCTTAATCACTGTGTTGATCTCCTTGCCTGGCCAAATTCTTCTCTCCCCCATCTTTCTTCTCTCATTCTTCTCTTCTTCTTTTGAATGTGTGCATGCATGTGTATGTTAACCCCAGAGGCAAGGTGAATTCTGTTGACCTACTTGTCTTATAATATTTTCCATATGTGTATGATTGCAGAAAACAAGAGAATATAAGCTAAGGGAGGTGATTTTGAACCGGTTTTATTACTGGGAGGCTTTCTTCGTGATCTAAGAGGGCACCCACGCAAGCCAGCCCGAGTAAGTCCCGAACCCACTTTAAATTCCTCTCTCATCGATTGGTAATACCTGCCCTTGTTTTCAAACGAGGTTCCCAAGAGAGCAATCTCAAAAATCCTAGGTCTCCCTGAAACCCGAGATGCGTGCCATTCGATTATCCAGATCTGGAAGGGGAGATCGAGGCACCTAACCAATGTCAAAGAGCTACAAAAGTTCGAATGAATTCCAAAAGTCCACAAAATGGAATAAAAAGGAAAACGAGCAAAAATTGTGAAGCTTAAGAACCCTTAAAAATGGTTGAGAGCTTCGTGGATCTTCGCCTATAGCTCCTCCGCATGCCTCAGCACAGACTTCTTTCCCTCTTTAAGATGGGAACTGGATTGAGCAACTTTATTTGAAAAATTGTTGACTGTTGTCGTCTCAGTACTCAGCCGCTCCAGTTGCTGAGACTTTCATTGTATTTTCTACTCCACTTTTGGGGAGGCCGGGGCAGTCACCTCCGGGACCACTGTCTCAGCAGTTGAAATTTCATCGACAGCCTCGCAATTCTCCTCTTCAGTGAAGGTGTGTTGGACATCTCATGGACTCATGAAAGAGCACGCAGGAGACTCAGTGTTACTGCCGATAGTAGGTGTCGCTACCGCCTCTACTCCAAGAGAGGTCCCTCCAAACTCACGCCTCAAGATGAATGAGGTCAAGCCTTGGCCAAGCCATAGCAGTCTCTGGCTCTACTCTTGAGCCAGAACGGATGCTGTAGGGGGCAGAGTCAAGATTGTACACGCCTCCATTCTTATACGCTTGACAAGAGGACGCGGTCGTGATGTGCCCACAATGGACACGCCATTCTTACCCACATGGGTCCCTCTTTTCAAAATAGTGGGGATAGACATGAGACACTATGTCTCCTTTTGTCTTTCTTCACCCTTGCTTCCCTTCCCTTTCTCTTGGGGGCTCAATTCTAGGCCCGATAATGGTGGGAGCTCTCTAGCCACGTCTGGCCTTAGTAGCTAGGCCACAGCACAGCCCACTTCCTATCGAGACATCCAGACCTTGGACAAGTCTTCCTTCATGTCCCAAAACCGTACCTCCCTTGGTCAACAAAAATGGATGAGGTCATCGAATAAAGATTTTGTCTCGCCCTTCATAGACAAATACTCCGGGCCAGCCTCGTCTTAAACCAAAGAATGGGGCTTGGCGAGCTCTCTCCAGTTGGCAGGGCAATGGCTCGATTCAAAAATTCCAGAGAAGAAAGGGGGAACAAAACTCTTCTTGACCTTGCCGTCGTGTATGTCGCTGTTGACATCTTGCCATGACGGTCGGAGTGCCAGTATAGGCGATTGGTGATGTTCCACCACCACCAGTAAGTCGTCGCATGACCCATGCGACCATTATGAGGGACCACGAATTTTCTTAGCTCCGTGAGGTAAAGGCAAGTCTCCCATGCCATCCTCATGTAAAGATCGGTCCATGCCTCACGACTCATTCCAGCGGCTTCATGATTGTGCAATGCCCCCTTTTTCCCATACTTCTTCTCGAAGAGTATGTCGAAGCAGCACCCTTGATCCAGGCCATGCTAACGAATGAAGCAATGAGGGAAATAGCCGTCCAGCTTTCTATCTCCTACACTGTGATGACTCAAAATTTCTTAAAACAGAAAAATAATATTAATAATAATAATGTAAAAAAAAATTGAAATACTTACATAGAAAAAAAAAAAAAATTTGAGTTATAGTTTATTGTGTAAAAAATATATCATAGGGACCATGTTTTAGCTTTTCTTAAAATGTTTCAAAAGCCACAATATTATTAAATGTTTGGATGGTCCAATTTAATTTGGGTGGACCTTAGGTTCACCATCTTTTGTTTCTATTTTTCCATGAGGAGGTTGGTTCTTTTTATCACCTTGTTTGTGTCCCTTTATACACTTTCATTTCTTTTATCCTGACACCTCTTAACTTAGGTGTTACAAAGTTTCTCTCTTTCTGGATAAGTGTCTAGCTCCTCTGTATTTCTTTTGTGAATAAGCATGAAGAACTAAGAAGAAGCTCGCTTTAGTGTTGTGTGCATTAGTGGCAATTGAGAGAAGAGGAGGCACTTTGAAGAAGGAAGTAAAAAGGAAGGATTTTGTGTTGCTTCTACAATTGAGGGCTTGGTTGATTTATGTAGTTTGGTCCAGATCGGTGTTCTCAAA